ATGTCTACTGATTTTGTAGGTTTGATGTTTTCTAGTTCTTAGCAGCTCCATGATGTCTTTATCAGATTCTTGTAGTCTCACGATGTCGATAGAATCTTATAGAGGTGGGAAGGGCGTGGAGGCGTGGATGCTCTGCATATCCTTCGCCTTCCATGCAGTCATTGGATCCAGTCCGGCTGCTTCTTTTGCTAGCTGGTCCATTTGATTATTTAGGATGGAGATCTCGGCCTGGTCTTTTCTATGTGCTCGCACTTTGAAAAGATACGTTTTTCCAGTGCGCTGGGTAGCCAAGTTCCATGCGTGGTTTAACAGAGTGGCATGGGCTACTGGCTTGTTGTCGTTAGTGCACATATTCTGTTCTTTCCACACGACCATCCAATCTATGAACGATCGTAGGACCCAGTCCGAGTCGGTGCAGATGGTTATGTCTGCCGTTGGCAATGCTTCTTCCATCGCTAGGATGACTGCGACTATCTCTGCTGCTTGGGCTGAGACGACATCAGTTGGCCTCTATACACTGTACTGGGTGGAGGTATGCATGGCAGCTGCTCCAGTGACTAGTTGCCCGTCTTTCCTTCGACAGCTTCTGTCTACCACCCAGATACCTTCAGGTGTCTTAGTTTTGACGTCTTTAAATGACTGGAGTAGACTAAATGGTGAGATAATGTTGGACACAGACTGTTCCGGTATTGGACACTCATGTGGATCTGTAGCTTGGATGGGCTGACAGAATATTCCAGGTGGATTAGATTGGGTGTTGGCGGGTTCCACCTTGATGTCATGGTTCATCAGTGTCAAAGTCCATTGAGCCAGTCTGGGATGGCTCACTCGCCCGTTGTTCGCTTTTCCTGATATGATGTAGTGAACAGGTGTGTGGCTCGTTTTCAACACAATGGGTGCACTTCCAATTAGGTACTCCCAATGCTGAAGTGACCATGTAAGGGCCAGAACCTCTTTCTCACAGGAGGTAAACTGTCTTTCAACGTTACTTAGAGTCCTGGAACCATAAGCAATCGGTTTCAAGGTGGTTCCACTGTGTTGCATCAAGATGGCACCAATCGCTTCTTTCCCTGTTGTTATTTTAAGATGGAATTCTTTGTTTGGGTCAGGATATGCCAAGGCTGGCGCTTTCATAAGAGCTGTCTTCAGTTTTGCAAAAGCTTCTGACTGCTCTGGACCCCAACTCCATTCTTGTGTCTTCTTCAATAATTTGTATAATGGTCTTGTGAGACTACCGAAGTCTTCTATGAAATCTCGGCAAAATCCAATTAAGCCGAGAAACATTCAAAGGCTATGGACATCTGTTGGTGCTGGAAGCTTGGATATCAGCTCTACCCGTTCTTTGTCTGGAGTACGACCTTCATGTCCCAGACGGACGCCCAAGTAGGTGACCTCTTTCTTTAAAAGCTGGGCCTTTTCAGGATTGATGATGAAACCAGCTTTCTTTAAGGCATCTAATACCTCGTCAAGTGCAGCAAGGTGTGTCTCTCTATCCGGAGTGGCAATCAGGATATCATGCACGTAGCTTATAATGTTCTTTGAATGCATCAGTCCCTTCCATAACTTGGATACAGCACAATGACAGATGGTAGGAGCATTATGGAAGCCTTGTGGGAGCCTTGTAAAGGTGTATTGCTGATCCTTGTAGGTAAAAGCAAATTTGTGCCAGCTATTGGGATGCAGTCCAATGGAGAAGAAAGCATTAGAAATATCTATGACTGAAAACCACCGTGCTCCATTTGCAATCTGTGCGATGATTTCGGGGTACTTTGCCACCACAGGAGCCATTCTTGGAGTCACTTTGTTCACCCCTCGATAATCAACGGTGAGTCTCCATGTCTTCCCATCTGCCTTCTTCACTGGCCAAATAGGAGAATTACAAGGACTTGAAGTCTTTTTCAGTACACCTTGGCTCAGTAATGCTTTGATGGTTTCATCAATTCCATCCTGTGCTTCTTGGGGAAAGCGATACTGACGCATTGATCGTGGATCAGGACCAGGAACTTCTATAGTCTCGGTTGTTTTACCGCAGCTTAGTTTGTGCCTTGCAAACACTGATCTGTGCTGGGTCACGATGTCCATCACATCTGTCTCCCAGTTGGGCAGCTTCAGTTCTTCAGATGCCTTAATGGCACCTAAACGATGGACTGCTGAAATGATGTCACCCACACTCTGGTTGTCCGGAGCTTTGTAGATCTTCTTGTTCACTAAATCGATAGTTAATCCTAGTCCTTTAATCATGTCTGATCCCATGATGCCAACACCGTCCATATCTTGTAATCCAACTTGCATGGTGACTTTCTCATCTCCAAGCTTACACTTGATATTGTTGACAAATGGTACCATAGATGTCTTGCCATTATAGGATTGCAGAGACTTAACACAAGAATATTGCTGTTGTCTTAGCTGAGGAGCTGCCGCTGAACACAGTATACTAGTAGATGCCCCTGTATCTACTAATATCTTCTGCTGTATTTCTTCGAACTTCCCTGTAAAAGTCATTGTCACTACAGGTCTCCCATAGATGTCAAGGGCAATCGGTGTTATTACCTGTAGGGGGGGCAAGAGGGAAGCTCGGCAGCTTCAGTTAGGCGCGTCACGACGTTCGACGTCCACATGGCGTCTCCCTTGCGGCAGTCTGTCCGTACGGCAAGATGGCGGCGCCTGTCTGTTGTCACCACGCTGGCGGTTCTCGGAGCAGCCTGGTTCGACGTCCAGCCTAGCCAGCTCCCTAATCATTTCTCCTAAACTCAAGTCCTGAATTTTATCCCAGGGTAGAAATCTGGATAGTTTTTGTGACAGCACCTTTCGGGTCACATGAATCTCCCCAAAACGTCCTTGGTTACCTCTAAATTTAGCTTGGGCCGGAGGCTTAGGAGCCTGCCTTTTAACATTAGTTTCCCCCTTCTCTTCGATAGCTGCTACCTTTTTAGGGTTGGTGCTCTGCTTTTGCTGCAGCAGCTCAAAGATCTCGCGGAGTTTTCGTTCAAACTCAACCAGTGGGGTGTTCCCAAAATCAAAAGACCCCAAAGCTATCTTCAGGGATGGACACAGACCCTGATACAACAGTCTCTTAAATCCAAAACCATCATAATTTATGGCACCATTAACCAAAATACCTAACCCAGCAAGCCAATGCAACATCTTTTTTCTCATTACATACAGCTCCGGTCTCTCCCCTTCAGATAACACATCTGAATACAATTTTCCCATTACATCCTCGCTGGGGAAGTATAAGTGGTATGCAGCTTTGTATAAATTGCTAAGATCTGGATTAGCACTATTGACCACACCATAAGGCAAGGCCGTCACGTCTTCTAGTGACATGCACTCCCTCAGTAAGGTAACTGTGTCCTTACTTTTGCCATCCAATTCAAAATGGTCTCTTTGCAGCATTTGCCTAGGTTCTTGCCCAGAACTCTGGCTTGTTCAGGAGAGAAAGACTTCCTCTCATATTTTACAGTGGGCTGACTCTGCCCTGGTTGGTGAACCTCGGTTACTATTACAGGAGCCATATTCCCTTCCCCTCCTTGATAGCAATCAAGGGGTGGGACCTCAGACCCTCCATTAGCGTTCAGCCAGTCAGCTGGATAACCAGGGCTGACTGCTGAAACAACTCCTCTTGCCTTGCTGACTTGCAGGCGCAGGTTGGCAATTTCCCTCTGGCAGCTTGTGTGGTCGGCCACTCCTGGCTTAGGCGTGCCTGCCTCCTTAAGCAGCTGCCTCACCGTAGCCTGTGAGTCATTTAAGGCAGCAACCTTTTCTATGAGGCTGTCCTCAGCTTGGTCACACTGTGACATGACTGCTGCAAGCTGAGCCTCTAGCTTTGCATTTTGAATTTCCACAGCCTCCAATTTGAAATGTTGTCTGTCCAATTGATCTTTTATAGACTCAAACTCTTTGAACTGGATGTTCAACTCCTTAACCTGAGCACTAAGCTCATTGCTGACAGTGGCTAAGGCATAAATGAAAGCACTTTTCTGTGTCTTCCTTTTGGGAACAGGTTTAGTTTTTACAAACTTTTCCCACAATACACACAGCTCATTCAAAGGATCCTCCCCCCTGAATACATTAGATTTCCAAGGGTTAGGCCCTTTACAGAAAGAATCGAGAGCGCACTCTAACCAGTTTTTATTTTGCAGCAGCTCCCAGCCATCCTCAGTGAAGACTCTAGTAGCTGCCATGGCTTCTTCTCAGGCTTCTTACCAAGCCTGCTGGAACAAGCCTGTGGTGTACCGGGTCGCTCAAGACCAGCTGAATAATATCACACTGGCTTGCGGTACTGTCCACCAGAGAAACTAGGACGCGCCAGCCAAACCGCGCTATTCCAGAGAAAAGCGGGGGAGGGGTTTGCACTCGCGAACCGCGATCACATGCAGCGGCTCCAAGTGGCCGACTCAGCAAGGCCTCCAAATGGTGGCACCTGCGGGCTGGGCTTAGGAAGGGCCTCTTGCCCAACTAACCAGCGGGGTGTCTGGTCAGTTACCGGAGGGTTACAGACCCTGAGTGAGCGCGTCCCCCCACTACCAGGCTGGACCGTAGGCCGGATTTTAGGGAACAGAAATGGTTGGGAGCAGAGAGAGATAGGACAGAGGTCTATTTAGAGCCCTCCCTTTACTCTATTTCACAATTCTCAAAACCTGCTTTCCTTGCTGGAAAAGCGGCTGAGATCAAGCAAACGACTGGTGTCCTGCCGCGGTCGCCAATTCTGTTGCACTGAGGGAAGCTTGTACCTAAATTTGCATCTGATTATTATTAATTAAGCCTCAGTAGAAGTTGCAGATACCACCAAACCTTATCTATCATAGGTGTTTGCTGACCCAAGAATGCCGCAGTAAATAAAAACGTTGCTCACTTTAAAGGGGCCAAACCATATATTGTAAAAGTTTTAAAGGTACAACAAGAAAGGCAGGTAAACAGTAATATTTCCCAACCCCAAGAAGGAAAGAAGATAGAAAAGTACCCCACAAACACAAGGTTACACAAAATACAATAATTACACAGTCCAGTAGTTGACAGTGGGTGAGAAGCTCCTGTCACTCAAACCTTTGGCTAATTTAAAGCCTCTGGTGAAAGACGAGGAGATCCCTCACAACGGTGACCCTCTGCGGTGCTCTCGACCTCAAGCCTTAGGCTCCTTCCGAGCCCTCAGTGAGGAACAGAGAGGCGATCCCTCGGAGACCCTGGGGACGGGTGTGGTGCAGGCAGGTGGTGATGATCCTCATCTGGGGCCTTGCGCTCCTAGATTGCAGGAATCACTGGTGGAGACTTGCCTGGCGCTGATCTTCAGGTGGCTTCTGCTCTTTAGCAGGAACCGATGATAGACAGCTACCTATCCCTAATACCTGGAAACAAAACCTGACTAGCTAGACTCGACGCTCCCGTCACGGACAAGTACCCGGCCGCTGGTGCAGTGAACCGACGCACTAATCCTAACGGACACACTCGATGACGAGATCTAGCTAACCCTGACTAACTACAGACTGACATAAACAGACAGACAAGCAGGAACAAGGGTGGCAGGAACCAACACAAACAACTCTTAGCCAGGCCTTCCAAGCACCCTTCTCATAAATACTCATTATCTTTATCTTTACACTCATTGGACCCTGTACAGGAAAACAAGGGTCCCTGATTGGTTGCTTTGATAAACAAGTTGTAACAGCCTGGATCAGTGAGCTGCATGCAGCAGCACAGTGTGACATGTGCAGCTACCTGTGTGCCGTGTGCAACACTCCTAGAAACGTCTATATTAACATTCCTAACAGCTACTACATATTCATAACAAATCATACATATTAATGATTGCTTATAAATATTAATGAAGTGTCAAAAATGAGCAGGCTACACTGGACTGTGTAATTATTGTATTTTGTGTAACCGTGTGTTTGTGGGGAACTTTTCTATCTTCTTTCCTTCTTGGGGTTGGGATAAAAAGTGTTTACCTGCTTTTCCTTGTTGTGCTTTTAAAACTTTTACAATATATGGTTTGGCCCTTTTAAAGTGAGCAACGTTTTTATTTACTGCGGCATTCTTGGGTCAGCAAACACCTACGATAGATGAGGTTTGGTGGTATCTGCAACTTCCACTGAGGCTTAATTAATAATAATCAGATGCAAATTTAGGTACAAGCTTCCCTCAGTGCAACAGGGGTGACCCACTGCCATCACAGTATGGTTCGGCAGGTCCTCCTGTGGGCTCTCCAGGAGCGCTTGCAACGATGTAAAGTCAGTGTGGGGCCTGAGAGCCAGAGCTAGAAGCAGAGCAGCATCCACGCAGAAACTGTGCACACCCCAGTACAGCGGCTGCCCTTTGGCAGCTGGCTCTGGTGGGAGCAAGACTGCAGTGTAGACGCAAGCTGCCTGGCATCAACCTACTCCTGCAGCATAGACCAGGCCTCCAAGCTGGTGGCAGGTTCTATCAGCTGCTTGCCCCACATATTCCCTGCAGCCCTGGGCTCTGGCTGGGAGTCCCTGAACTCACTTCTCAGATTCTAGTTTAGCTGCCAGGTCTGTTGACGATCTACAAGCCCGAATAGCCACCTGTGCCCAAACTGGGGTGTCTGCAGGGTTAGGACAGACTCCATCTCTCTGAGCTGGGGGGGCCTGCAGGGCTGCTGATCTATAGTGTTTCTAGGGGCCTGCCCCGTAGAACAAGCACTGGAGTAACGGGTTATACCCTAAATAAACTTAAAAAGCAAATGGTCTGGCAGCACTTTGTAGACTAACAAAACACGTAGATGGGATCAAGAGTTTCGTGGGCACAGCCCACTTCTTCAGATGATTGGAGTTTTGAGGTTAGGATGTGCAGACCCAAAATAAATAGGGGAGACGGAAGGAAACAAGGAGCAGAGGGTATGAAAATATCAAAGGGAAGAACAAGTGGGCAGAACTGGTAACCTATAAGTACCTAAAGTTTGGATAGTTAAAAGAAACAGATAAGGATCATAGAATAGCAATTAGATAGGAAGGGTACTACAGGAGGCCCCCGCTTTACGATGGCCCGATTTATGACCCCTCCCCCGCTCTTATGACCTTTTCTGTAAGTGTGGAAGGGGCCGAAATCCCCCAACTTACGTCCTTGGCCCCGCATTTACGACGGCATACAACTGTCGCAAATGTGGACTTGAGTTACGATGCCCCAACCTGTGACGCTATTCCCGGAACCAATCGTGTCGCAAGTTGGGGGTAGCCTGTAATGCAAGAATCTACACAGACGAAGAGCTGTTGGCACCTGAATGTTAGGTTGATAATGTCCCAGCCATCCATTATCTCAATTCAGGAGGTTATCAGGATGAGAACTGAATTTGTGGATGAATTGTAATTCCAATGCCTCTCTGTGTATTGGGCTTGTCGAGTTGGTTTGTGACAAGACAGCCACCTGGAGATCTTTTGAAGCGTGATTAGGTAGATTGAAGTGCTCTCCAACAGGTTTCTGTATGTTCCCTTTATGTATATCTGATTTGTGCCCATTGATTCTGTCCAGCTTGTCCAATATATATAGCAGTTGGGCATTGCTGGTGTGGAAGCAGGACTAAGGGAAAGGGGATTTGGGTGGCCATTTTAGGGTTTGTCAGTAGCAGAGCAAGAGTCTGGTTCACTCAGACTCCTGCTAACGCGAGAGCTAGAAGAGACGCTGTGTTCGCCTTTCTGTCTCTCTCACATTGCTAAGAGTGGAATGCTGACCTCAGTGAGAGCCTTGAGATAAGTCAGTGTCCGATGGGAACTGAGTGGGCAGGGAAGTGATTGTTTAATGTTATATGTAACAGAAAGGTAGATATATTGGCTTTGAATTGTTTTGCATTTGAAGATCCGCTTACGCTGCCTTCCCTTGCAATATTGCTCGAATAAACTGCCCCTGGCTACTTGTTGCTTAAACACAACGCAGAGTGAAGGCTCGTTATCTTCCACAATTTGGTGCCGTGTCTCGCAATCCCAGATGTGCAGTGGGGACCATTTGTCTATTGGTGGGAGGAAGCCACAAAGAGACTCCATGAGTCCCGAATGCGGAGTCTAAGGGACTCTCAGGAAAAACTAAAAACACAAGCACAGGATTTGAAATTAAAATGTAAGGCATCTGGATGTCTTCCCATCCAATCCACCTCCCTAGCTCCCTCGGCTCCCTTGTATCCCCAGTTAATTAAAGCTGAGAGCGAGGGAGAGACAGCTGAAGATGTTGTGGGTTTCTTTAGCAATGCTCCAAGGCTGCCGCCACCGCCGCTCTCTCCCCCTTGGCAGGCTGTGTCATCAGACTCATCTGCTGGCTGTAGCATCAGACTCATCAGC